TAAATTGCAGTTTTTTAAAATATATATACGTGTGTTTATTTGGTTTCCACTTTTTGCCTTCACAAAAAGACTTAAAATTTAATAACAATAACAATATTTAAGATAAGGACTAGAAACAAAAACCTTGTAAAGAATGAATGAAGATAAATACGTTCAGAAAAGAAATCAGACGACTGCTGCATCCAAATATTAAGCAATAATAATAGAGTCTTTTTTTTTTTTTGAGACAGAATCTCCCCTTTGTTGCCTTCAGTAGAGTATTGTGGTGGCATAGCTCATAGCAACCTAAAATTTTAAGCTCAAGCTATCCTCTTGCCTCAGCCTCTGGAGTAGCTGGGACTACAGGTGCCCATCACAACGTCCAGCTATTTTTAGAGGTAGAATTTTGTTCTTGCTCAAGCTGATCTGGAACTCCTGAGCTCAAGCAATCTGCTTGCCCCAGCCTCCCAGAGAGCTAGGATTATGCATGTCAGCCACCTCACCCAGCATTTTTTTTTTTTTTTTAAGTGGCAGAATCTTAACAAAGTAGTGTAGTAGTCAATAAAAGGACTGAATTCAGTTAACCTGAAGTGGAGTAAATGTTCAAAGAAAATACTGAGGAACTGGCTCGGCACCTGTAGCACAGTGGTTGCAGTGCTGGGCATGTACATGGAACCTGGTAGGTTCAAGCCTGGCCCTGGCCAGCTGGGCAACAATGATGACTGCAACAAGAACAAAAAACCCTGCGCCTTAGCACCAGTAGCTCAGTCAGTAAGGTGCCAGCCACATACACCTAGGTTGGCGGGGGGTTCTAGCCTGGCCCAGGCCCGCTAAACAACAATGACAACTGCAACCAAAAATAGCCTGGTGTTGTGGTGGGTGCGTGTAGTCCCAGCTTCTTGGGAGGTTGAGGCAAGAGAATTGCTTAAACCCAGGGGTTGGAGGTTGCTGTGAGTTGAGACGCTACAGCACTCTATCATAGAAGGCGACATAGTGAGATTCTGTCTCAAAAAAATACTGTGTCTCAAAAAAATACTAAGAAATTGTATGGACTAGTGAAGAGGTAGAGAAGATGTAGATGAGAGGATAGAATTACATAAGGTGAAAGAATGACAAGCTAATAGGCCATTAGGATTGGCATCTTGGGTGATGAATATGATTCCTAGGCCTGATGATGGAAGGGAAGGCAGAGGATTGATTAGAGGGGCATGGTGACACAGAGACTGGGTAAGATTGAGTAGCTCCAAAGATCTAGATTAGAGCTTTATTTTATTTTATTTTTGTAGAGACAGTCTCACTTTATTGCCCTTGGTAGAGTGACATGGTGTCACACAGCTCACAGCAACCTCCAACTTCTGGGCTTAGGTGATTCTCTTGCCTCAGCCTCCTAAGTAGCTGGGACTATAGGCGCCTTCCACAATGCCCTGCTATTTTTTTGTTGCAGTTTGGCCGGGGCCGAGTTTGAACCTGAAACCTTTGGTATATGGGGCTGGTGCCCTACCCACTGAGCCATAGGCACTGCTCAGACTAGAACTTTATTAAAGTGGTGCTGTCATAAGTCTGTGTGCCAGATGGCTAACTCTAATTGGAGTTTTAAATAATTTATGAATCTGGCTAATGTGGGCTACTTCATCTTTGTATGTGCTTGTATTGATAACTTATGCCTACGTTGCACCTGGCACTGAAATGTCCTTCCACTCATTTGTGTTTAAATTATATTCATTTTTAAAGCCCAGTTCAGTTTTGCCTTTCTAAGAACAATCTAACTCAAATGTGAAAAACGTTACACCTATTTCTGAACTTTGATGGGTCTTTATGACTCCTATGTGATCAGATTCCATCTATATTCTAGCTTGTTGAATTGTCTAATCTCTGCTGCTATACTATTAACTCTGTGTCAGAGACTGTCTTATTCATCTTACCTCCCCATGGCATCCTGAATGCCTAGAGTGTACCTCTGGTTAGGAGTACCACCTCTGGAATCAGACCAGATGGATCACCGTGGTGACCTTTGAGTTATTTGGATTCTTCAAACCTAAATTTCTTAATGTGTGAAATAGAAATAATACCATTACTGATTTTATAAGGCTTTTGTAAGGATTAAATAAAATAATTTGTGTAAAGCACTTAGCATAGAACCTGGCAATGGTAATTGCTGTTATCTCAGATACATTTTTATGGAATAAGTAAGCATATTGCACAAGGTACTTGGAAAAGTTACGCTTTTTAATTTTTTTACTCATATGTTTTGCAGTTTTTTTTTTTTTTTTTTTTTGAGACAGAGCCTCAGGCTGTCCCAGTGGGTAGAGTGCTGTTGCATCACAGCAACCTCCAACTTCTGGGCTCAAGTGAGTCTCCTGCCTTAGCCTCTCAAGTAGCTGGGACCACAGGCGCCCGCCACAACGCCTGGCTATTTTTTGGTTGCAGCCAGCATTGTTGTTTGGGAGGCCCGGGCTGGATTCAAACCTGCCACCTTAGATGTATGTGGCTGGCGCCTTAGCCACTTGAGCCACAGGCGCCGAGCCTACTCATATGTTTTGAATGAGAATAATTAGAAAGATTTTCCTATATGCGAATACTGGTATACTATAGTCTCTTGAAGAGTGATACTTTCATATAAATTACTGTAATAGTTATTTAGCTTTAACTATATGTTAGACATACTGCATAATGTTGAGTACTTTGATATAGACTATCTTTAATCTTAATTGAAAAGGCAAGTATTATCTGTGTGTTACAAATCAGAAACTGAGGCTCAGAGAAGTTGCAACTAGTAAACTAAGATAAAAACTTAGGTTGTTTAGGTTTAAAATCTGTATTCTATCTGTATTATTATTACTATTATTATTTTGAGACAGACTCTTAAGCTGTTGCCCTGGGTGTAGAGTGCCATGGCATCATCATAGCTCTCAGTAACCATCATAGCTCACGGCAACTTCCAACTATTGGGCTCAAGTGATCCTGTTGTCTCAGTTTTTCTATTTTTAATTAATTAATTTATTGAGACAGAGTCTCATTATATCACCCTTGGTAGGGTGCTGTGTCGTCACAGCTCACAGCAACCTCCAGCTCCTGGGCTTAGGTGATCCTCCTGCCTCAGCCTCCCAAGTACTTGGGACTATAGGTGCCCACCAAAACTCCTGGCTATTTTTTGTTGCTGTTTGGCTGGGGCCGGGTTCGAACCTACCACCATTGGTATATGGGCTGGCACCCTACCCACTGAGCAACAGGCACCGCCCAGATACTCTAGTTTTTGTTCTAGAAGCTTTATTTGTTTTATATTTGACATTTACATCTGATTCATTTCAAATTACTTTGTATGGTATGAAGAAGTTTGAGGGGTTTTTTTTTTTTTTTGAGAGAGAATCTCACTTTGTTGCCCTTGGTAGAGTGCCATGGTGTCATAGCTCACAGCAACCTCAAACCCTTAGGTTCAAGCAATTCTCTTGCCTCAGCCTCCCGAGTACCTGGAACTACAGGTGCCCACCACAATGCCTGGCTATTTTTAGAGATGGGGTCTTGCTCTTACTCAGGCTGGTCTCAAACCCGTGAGCTCAGGTGATCTGTCCTCCTCGGTCTCCCAGAGTGCTGGGATTACAGGAGTGAGCCACCACTGAGCCCCCTTTTTCTCCATTTTGTTATCAAATTGCTTCAGCATCATTTGAAAAAAAAAATCCCTTTCCCACTGAATGGTAGCAGTGCATTGTAATAAACAGGTGATTATATGCACATAAATGGGTCTCTACAATTTATTTTTAATTTAATTTTTTTTTTTTTGTAGAGACAGAGTCTCACTACATATCACCCTAGGTAGAGTGCCATGGCGTCGCACAGCTCACAGCAACCAACAACTCCTGAGCTTAGGGGATTCTCTTGTCTCAGCCTCCGGAATAGCTGAGACCACCGGAGCCTGCCGGGGCCGGGTTTGAACCTGCCACCCCCAGTATATGGGGCCGGCGCCCTACCCACTGAGCCACAGGCGTCCCTCCTACCATTTATTTTTATTATGAACGTGTTGTATTACAGTAGACTATAAATTCCAAGATAGATAGCTTGGGTTTTTATCTAATTTTTTTCACTCACTTCCTCTCACAGTGCCATGCACATGATAAACATTAAATACTTGCTGATTGAAAGAATTCATAAAAAGAAATCCACAGGAAGTCTGAAAAATGTTATAGAGTAAAAAATTAAGCTGTTCTTAGATGCATAACATGCTTAGATATACAGATACATCATAAAACTGGAAGTGTTTTGTTTTGCTTTGTTTTCTGAGACAGAGTTTCTCTCTGTCTCCTAGGCTAGAGTATGTCATCAGATTCCTGGGCACTAGCGATTTTCTGGCTTCCTGAATAGTGTACCATCATGCTTGACTGGGTTTTCTATTTCTTTGTCTAGACAGAGTCTGTGTTGCTCAAGCTGATCTTGAACTGACCTTAGGCAATCTCCCTCCTCAACCTCTCAAATGTTGTGACTACAGGCATGAATCCACCAGGCCAGGCCTTGAAAGTGTTTTTGTAGAATATTACCAAATTTTAGATTTTGCCTGCTCTCTGCTCCCTGCCATCATAAGAATTTGTCCTATCAGATGATTCTACTACTAGGTGTGAGGTCTTTTATCAGGAAATTTCTGTTTAGTTTCTAGATCCAGTTTCCCTAATTTTTTAATTGTCATTTTACATATATTGTTTACTGGGGACATTTTGTGAGAATCTGCTACTCTTCTGGCACATGTAGTTATTTTTTTGACCTTTTTTTTTTTTGCAGTTTTTGGCCGGGGCTGGGGTTTGAACCCGCCACCTCTGGCATATGAGCCCAGCGCCTTACTCCGTTGAGCCACAAGCACTGCCCTTTTGACCTTTTTATCTCTTTTGTTTGTATAAAATGTTATCAGTATAATGTCTAAATTGACATAAAGTAACTTAAAACAGGGGATGTATGTGAAATGGTCTCTTTGATTAAATTGTTTATTTTATTTAGATTTTAAATTATAGTTTTTACCATGTCTTTTGTTTTTGTAGAAATTGTCACAGAAGGAAAAAGGAAAAAGTCTTCATCATCTGACTTATCAGAGGTATGCATTAGTTTTGCTTTTAACCCATTCATTACCTTTGGCATTACTAATATTGAAAGTATTTTTCTGTTTGTCTTTTTAATAAAAATTTAATGAAAATACTGCAAAACTTTAATCAGTGTTTTTGGGAGATAATATATTCTAATTCAGTGAAAGCTAACCAGGAAACCCTTTCTGGGACCAGCCTTGTTTAAATTATTGTAAGATGTGTTACAGGCTCCATTTTAGATTTTATTTAAAACATAACTTAGCATTGTTGTGATGGCTGAATATATTTTAGTGCCTCATGCTTGTTCATTAATAACACATTAGATAGAGTAAAAAAATAGAAAATTTTATATTACCAGTATAAATACTATCATACCTAGTTTTAAGTACCTTGGTATTGACTACTACTACTTTTCTGTTTAATCAGTCCAGTGAAGTGAAATACCCTGCTTTAAAGCTATTGTATTCTCATGCAGTTAATCTGAAATTCCACCATTATAATTCATATTATTTAGTTAGTATATTTCTCTCTCTCTCTCTCTTTTTTTTTTTTTTGAGATAGAATCTTACTCTGTCGCCCTCGGTAGAGTGTTGTGACATCATCATAGCTCACAGCAACCTCAAACTCTTGGGCTCAAGTGATCCTCTTGCCTCTGACTCCCAAGTAGCTGGGACTATAGGTGCCCACTACAACATGTCCAGCTAATTTTCCTATTTTTGGTAGAAATGAGGTCTTGGTCTTACTGAAGCTGGTTTCAAACTCTTGAACTCAAGCAATCTACCTCCCTCAGTCTCCCAACTCAGTATCCCAAAGTGCTAAGATTGTAGGCATGAGCCATCATTCCTGGCTTACATTTCTCTTTCTGATTTTTAGTTTTAGTTTTTTTTTTTCTTCAGAGACAGAGTCTCACTTTATTGCCCTTGGTAGAGTGCTATGGAGTCACACAGCTCACAGCAACCTCCAACTCCTGGGCTTAGGTGATTCTCCTGCCTCAGCCTCCCAAGCACCTGGGACTACAGGTGTCCACCACAATGCCCGGCTATTTTTGTTGCAGTTTGGCCAGGATTGGGTTTGAACCCGCCACCCTCGGTATATGGGGCCAGTGCCCTAGTCACTGAGCCACAGGTGCTGCCCTCTTTCTGATTTTTAGATGTGCTCTGGTATTTAAAAAAAATTTTTTTTTAATTTGTAGGGAATTTAAGACTTATAGAAAAGTTATAGAAATCACACTGAATTCCTGTATACCTGTCACTCATATTCTCTTAATGTTAATATTTCATATAACTATTGAATGATTATAAAAAATAAGAAATTAACATTGGTATAATACTTTAAACTATAAATATCATTCAGATTTCTTTTCTTTTCTTTTTTTTTTTGAGGCAGAGTCTCACTTTGTCACCCTCAGTAGAGTGCCCTGGCATCATAGCTCACAGCAACCTCAAACTCGGGCTCAAGTGATTCTCTTGTCTCAGCCTCCCAAGTAGCTGGGACTACAGGCACCTTCCACAGCACCCAGCTATTTTTAGGGATGGGGCCTTGCTGTTGCTCAGGGTGGTCTCGAACTCCTGAGCTCAGACAATCTACCTGCCTCAGCCTCCCAGAGTGTTAGGATTACAGGTGTGAGCCACTGTGTCCAGCCTCATTCAGATTTCTTTAGTTTTTTTCCACTAATGTCTTCTTCTTTTTGTTTTTTTTTTGTATCAGGATCCAGTTCATCCCACATTGCATTTATTTGTTATATCTCCTTAGTTTTTCTGTCTCCTTAGTTTCTTTCAGTCTGTGGCAGTTCTTCAGTCTTCCTTCTCTAATGACTATAATGATACTTTTCAAGTGAATTGGACAGTATTTTGTGGGATATCTCCCAATTTGGGTTTGTCTCAGTTTTCTCATGAGTAGTTTAAGATTATGCCTTTTTTTAAACTATACTACAGAAGTGATGTGCCCTTTTCAGTGTATCACATTGGGATAATATGATAATGATATACCTTATCAGTGGTGATGTCAGCCTTAATTGTTTGGTTACTATTATGTATGCCTGTATACTTCACTGTAAAGGTATTCCTTTTTCCTTTATAAATAGTAGGCATCTTGGGGGAGATACTTTGAATATATGCAGATATGTAGGGAGCCAGCCCCCATACAACCTGTGAGTGTCCCCAGTGCTTGGCAGTGATGAGGGAAATGAGGAAAATAAAGATAATAGAAATAGAGTAGAATTTACAGAGTGGGCCTGGGGGGCCAACGCCCTTTATGTGAGAGACATTGATGGTCTGAACTAGGGGTCCTCAAACTTTTTAAACAGGGGACCAGTTCACTGTCCCTCAGACCATTTGTTGGAGGGCCGGACTGCAGGCCCTGGGATGAGTCAGCTGCTAAGCAGGACAGGCAGCAGTGGCAAAAACACCTGGCAGGCCCGATAAATGTCCTAGGCAGGCTGCCTGTGGCCCATGGGCCATAGTTTGAGGATGCTTGGTCTGAACTCTGGATGCACTTGGTTTTTATTACTTCTCTTGATCAGCAAATGAGTGTTCACAACAATAATAACATACAGCATCTTTGTGGCTTCTCATGTCCTAATTCTCCATTACCTACTGGATTACTGGTTAGCTATTTTTGTTACTTTTACTTCTCAAAATACTCATCAGTCACTAACAGGATTACCGGAAACAAAGGAAAAGGGAACACGGACTTTGGAGCTGGATACCACCCAGTTAATCCTCTGTGCTTCTGTGGGGCAGATTACTTGATGCCCTACTCGTATCAGGAGCCAGGGGCAAAAAAAGCTGAATTTTCTTATCCCACACCCACAATAACTAGTCTTTCTTGCTCAATGAGTCAGCTGCATGTGCTGTCCTAGTTAATCTTAAAATGGCTTTTCAAGCCCTTCAGGCCCTAGCCAGGCCTTTATGGACCTTTTTCCTGAAGCCCTCCTTGACTAAGGAGGCCTTTTTCCTGAAGTCTTTTGATGTTTGTGCCAAGCTGTCTTATGAAGACCCCAGTATAGCATTGTGGCCGGTGCCTGTAGTTCTAGGTACTTGGGATGCTGAGGCAAGAGGATTACTTGAGCCCAGGAGTTTGAGGTTGCTGTGAGCTGTGACACTATGGCACTCTACCAGTGGTAACAGAGTGAAACTCCGTCTCAAGAAAAAAAAAGCATCACTCAGTAGATATTTGGTGGTTACTTAACAAGTGTTAGACATTATGCCAGGCATAAATACTAGGGAACAGTGATGAACATTTCAGTGGTTACATTATATATTCCTTTATATGTGTGTATCACAGTTATTTTAACCACAATCCTATTTGTACTTTCAAACTGTTTCTAAATTTTAAAATAGTAAACAGTGATGTTTCTTATAATAGAGTTATAATAGAAGCTTTGCAGTATTATTAATAGCTTAGAATCTTTGTTGATTATGCACAGCTGAAACCATGATTAAAATTAGTTTAAGGATAGATGAGATTGGGTGGTGCCTGTGCCTCAGTGAGTAGGGCGCCAGCCCCATATACTGAGGGTGGCAGGTTTGAACCTGGCCCCAGACAAATTGCAACAAAAAAATAGCCGGGTGTTGTGGTGGGCACCTGTAGTACCAGCTACTCGGGAGGCTGAGGCAAGAGAATCGCCTAATCCCAGGAGTTGGAGGTTGCTGTGAGCTGTGATGCTACGGCACTCTACTGAGGGCGATAAAGTGAGACTCGGTCTCTAAAAAAAAAAAAAAAAAAGAATAGATAAGATTGTTTCAAAAGGCTTATATTATTTTTCATCAGTTAATTATTAGGGAAAATCATCGTAGAATAGTTGTACCTAAAATTTGTTTGCTTCTTATATACAACATTAGTGTGAGAGATCTAGATTATCAATTTATTAACCATAAAGCTGCAGCAGAGGTTTTTCTGAAGCTTTGAATGTTTATTTTTTTCTTTGCCTTGATTCCATCATGTTCACATGATGTGTGAGTTTAAAGACACTCAACCATTAAAAAAAAAAAAAAATTGGAG